TTAAGAAAATGACGTTATACAATGGGCCAAAAATTCCAGAACCACTGTCACCACCCCCAAATGTGTGTGTGTGTGTGGGGTTCAAAAATCCATTAGAATTCCAAGTTGCATAGAGTTGTTTTTAAAATATATACTCACATACAAAAACATATTTGAAAATGGCTAAAGAAAATACCTCAGAATCCATTTTCTTTTGAGCCATTTCTGGCTCCTTTTGTTTACTGGTCAGAATCTGATCTCGTAATATTCTGGCATTCTGTTCTTCGGAAAGTTGCTGCTGGGCATCGTTTCGCTGCTGCTCGACCTAGAGATAACATGGAGGTGTTTGTCTAATTGCACTGAAAAAAAAAAAAAGACTAAAAGGTTAATTAAGAGCAGAGCCTCTATTGGTTGAGCATGGTGGCTCAGGCCTGTAATCCCAGCACTTTGGGAGGCCGAGGTCGGCGGATCATAGGTCAGGAGATGGAGACCATCCTGGCCAACATGGTGAAACCTCGTCTCTACTAAAAATACAAATTTAGGCATTAGGCATAGTGGCGCATGACTGTAGTCCCAGCTACTTGGGAGGCTGAGGCAGGAGAATCGCTTGAACCCAGGAGGCGGAGGTTACAGTGAGCCAAGATCGCACCACTGCACTGCAGCCTGGGTAACAGTGAAACTCCGTCTAAAAAAAAGAAAAAGAAAAAGAAAAAAGAAAAAAAGAGCAGAGCCTCTCTTATAAAATGGTTAAAAGTAAGCAGCCTGTTAAAACACAAGAACTTTTATCCCTCAAGAATCACTCAAATCTTAATTGTATACATGACAGTTAAATTTGTCAAAGAGGAAAAACAGTTCTTAAATATGGGAAGATACAGCATTGTAAAATAAAATTTCTTTCAAAACATTTAACTAGTGTCACTATAGTTTCAAAGCTATTTAGCCTGTTTTTTAACATAAAAATGTGTAAACTCATTCAGTGATTAAACTCATCTTCCATTCTGAAAACATAGACTGAGCATCTATTTAGGTGCCAAGGTTTACAATACTTTTAGCTATAAATGTCATAGTTCATTTTTAAGAGGAGATAACAGTTTTGGTTTGTTTTAAACCTAAATGATACACACAAAGCCAAAAAAAGTATAAGCAATACTGATGAAGCATAAAGTTAGAAATATGAAGTTTTCACCAAAGATTAATTTACCAGATCTAAGTTCTTTCTTACCATCCTCAATTCCTTAATGAGTTTTCTCAGAGTCCATTTAAGTCATTGCGTCATTTCAACCTTTTTCCTACATTCCTCTTCTTTTATTCTTAACTGTTCACTATCTTTATTACACAATGTATCGCCATTTTCTTTCTTCTCTTTTCTTGTCTTAAGGCAAGTCTGAAGTTAAATATGGATATTAAAATGTGTTTGCTTAGAAAATAAAAAAGTTTATTTTGTCATCTGGCTCTTCCATGTGGGTTTATAATCCTCATAAAAACTCCTATGTTCTTGTTTCCTTTCTAGTTCTTATGTTTTTAATTTCTCACTTCACTCTCTTCCAAGGGACATACATATTTGAGAAGTAGTGAGGAAAGAAACATTCTGTTAACTGGTAAGTTTCTGTTACTAGTAAACCTGAGAAGAGCATATTTGAAATTTTTCAGTAAAGTTACAAGTTGAAAATTACTTCTTTTTCACGTTATGCAAATTTAAAATTAGTTAAATAGATCATTTAGAGTTAGCTAATTTAAAAGATGTTACTATTTACAAACAAGTTTAGAAATTCACTAGAAATACATTTTCATCTTTGTGAAATATTGTATGTATAGCCCTAAAAATGATTTACAGTGTAAGATAACACCTTCAGATGTCATTCACACAACATGTATCTTCAGACTACTATAATCCAAGACTAGGCTAAGCTGTTTAATAACTGTTACCTCCATACTTTTTATGTCTCTCTTTTTGGTAACACTTTCAACTTATCTTCTTGATTCTTATGCATTTTATAAACAATGTTTAAATCCCTTTTGGAACAAGACAGGATCTAATATTTAATTTAAAAGTAAAGGATAGTTTCAACATCAAATTTGGAATTAATTTTATCTGCACAGGAAAGATGGGGAATAAACTAATCATCAATTACTTTCCATTTTACTTTTTATTTCATGCATATTTAGAATGAAACTGGGAAGTCCTAGCCAGAGCAATCAGTCAAGAGAAAGAAATAAAGGTCGCCCAAATTGGAAAAGAGAAAGTCAAACTATCTGTTTGCCCAAGACATAATCTTTTAGCTTGGAAAACCGTAAACACTCCTGGATTTGATCAATGAAATCAGTAAAAGTCTCAGGTTATAAAATCAATGTACATAAATCAGTAGCACTAGTATACACAAATCAGTAGCCCTAGTAGACATCAAGAATGGCCAAGGTGAGAATCAAATCAAGAACCTAATCGCTTTTACGACAGTGGTGGCAACAACAAAAACTTAACCATTTAGAGATCTTTCACCTCCTTGGTAACTAAGATGAAAGATCTCTAAAAGGAGAACTAGAAAGCACTGCTGAAGAGCTCTTTCATGGGAAAAATGGAAATCATAGATGACACAAACAAATGGAAATATGCCCTATGTTCATAGAAGAATCAATATATTGAAAATGACCATATTAACTAAAGCAATCTACAGATTCAATGCAATTCCTATCAAAATACTACTGTTATTCTTCATAAAATTAGAGAAAGTACTTCTAAAATTCACAGGGAATAAAAAAAGAGCCTGAATAGCCAAAGCAATCCCAAGCAAAAAGAATGAAGCCAGAGGCATCACAATACCAGATTTCAAACCATACGACAAGCCTAAAGCAGCCAAAACAGCATGGTACTGGTATAAAAGCAGATCAACAGACCAGTGGAACAGAATACAGAACCTAGAAATAAAGCCAAATATGTATAACCAACTGACCTTTCACAAAGTGTACAAAGACACAAACTGGGCAAAGAACACCCTATTCAATAAGTGGTGTTGGGAAAAGTGAATAGCCATGTGTAGAAGAAGAATGAAACTGGATCCCTCTCTCTCACCATATATAAAAATTAACTCAAGTTGGATTAGGCCTAACATGGTGGCTTACATCTGTAATCCCAGCACTTTGGGAGGCCAAGGCAGGAGAATGGCTTGAGCCCAGGAGTTCAAGACCAGCCTGGGCAACATAGTGAGATCTCGTCTCTACCAAAAAATATTTTTTTAATTTAAAAAGAGATGGATTAAAAACTTAAATCTATAACCTGAAACCACAAAAAAAATCTGGAAGAAAGTGTAGGAGAAAACTCTTCTGGACACTGGCCTAGGCAAATTATTTATGACAAAGACCCCAGAACTAAAAGCGACAAAAACAAAAATAAATACACGGGACCTCAATGAAAAGGCTTCTGCACAGCAAAAGAAATAATCATCAGAGTAAACAGACAACCTACAGAATAGGAGAAAACATTTGCAAACTATGCATCTGACAAGGGACAAATCAGCAAGAAAAATACAAATAATCCCATCAAAAAGTGCACAAATGACATGAACAGACATTTCTCAAAAGAAGAGGCACAAATGGCCAACAAACATATTTTAAAATTCCCAACATCACTAATATTCAGGGAAATGCAAACTAAAACAACAAGGAGAGATACTGGAAGATGGCCGTTTAGGAACAGCTCAGGATTGCAGCTCCCAGT